ATTCTCTTCTATTCATCCATATTTCTAGAATCTTCTTTGCCTTCTGAGGAGCAGCAGCTCCCACAGCATGATGATACTTCCATCGTGTTTCAGTGCGGACAGGGCGTTCTTCCTCCCCACATATCATTTGACAAGAGAACCTTTGTCCACATGTTTGCTGTGTCCTCTTTGTGACTTATGGCAAACTTTAAACAAGTTAACTTTCAATGAACACTAACTAAAGCCACACAATCTCTACAATCTCTGATTCACACTCTTCTTGTCCGTCCTGCTGATAGGTCTATGTCCAAATAGTGCATTATTTTGTCTACTCTTTCCAGTTTCAGATGATGAATTGAACAGTGATCTATGAGATGTTCAAAGCTTGAAGGTTTTATAAGCTAACCCTCCTTTAAACATCTGTATCCTTGGCCCTGCCATGTTCTTTGATCTCCATTATGTTATTTGTCCACTTGAGTTCACTGGTGTGTGTGTGTGTGTGCTGATGTTAAAGTACACACAGGTGGCTGGCTTATATTTGCTTCTTCAGTGACGTTTTCAGACAGCTGGTTTGCTGGATTTTATTCAGACGTATTAAAAGATGTGAAAGCAAAACCATTCAACTCCATTTCAGTTTTTTAGGTGGAAACATTTAGATAAATCTTTTTCCTTCCACTTCACAATTATGTTGTATTTTGTTTAAGCCCACTGCATGTAAATCAATAAAGTAGATGGAAGATTATGTTTGCAACAGAACAAGTAAAACTATAAGGAAATGAACACATTTCCAAGGAAATATATGGTTCTACATATTTCTTTGATATATACAAAGGAGTAACATTATTAAGCACATTCATATGAGCAAATTCAAATCGTACAATATTTAATCGCCTTCATTAGCTTGAGTGCTACTAATGCTCCGTCGAGTCAGAGGTCATGCCTTTTCCCATTTCGAGACAAAGCCTTCACCAGCTCCGCCTAATTCGCTCTGAAAGTGAAAGACATCGGCAAGCGCTCCGTCATACAACACGGTCAGAACACTTTAGGGCCATTAATGATGCGCGTACCCATCAGCTGTAGTGTTTACGCTCCAGCTCGCCCAACAGAGCCAATCAGTGACTCTAAATTAGATTTACATTCATTTCTGAATCCCCCCTCGGGGATGTATGATTCTGTTATCCAACAAACACAACGGCAAGCTCTCCGTCCGCACCAATATTGGAATCAAACCGCCTTTGGACATGTGCTCAGATTGAGCAGCGAGTATTAGAAACATTAAATATTCAAAAAAAAAAAAAAAGTGTTGCAATTTCTTTGTGGGTGAATGCAACACAAAGGGAGGCTGCGCGCGCAGGGCTTGGTAAAAAAAAAGTCACAGGCCTTCTTGGACAGGATTTATTGTATTTCGTCTCCCCTCTGATGACAAGCGGTGTGATTAAGACACATTTTCTAATTGGCAGAGCTTCCAGTGATGGGTTTATTTAATGTGTTTGATGTCACTCCAGCAGCAATTTGCCGCGGCGCTCGAGCTGCACCATAAATCCCGTAATCAATTTGATGACGGTGTGATTGGTGTACACATGGAAAGGAGGCAGTAATGTCAGCCTCTCAGGTTCATGAGACTCCCGGGCTTCATATTTTCTCTCAATTCACATCCTATTAGAGAGTCTGACCCTCCCCCTCCATTCTCACTCTGTGCTGTAGCTTCTCCGCTCATCCCCACTACCCCTCCACCCCTTCCTCCCCCTCTCCTCCACACACACACACGCTGTTCCCCTCTTTCGTAGTCACACACACATGCAAGCGCACACACATGGACTCGATGCACTCTCTCTTTCCATCTCTCGCACTTTTACAAACACAGCTCAAAGACTGGAGTGTGTCTGGCTCGCCGTGTGTGCTTTCTGGGGCTTCGAGGGGGCTGGGGGGGCTGCAGAGACGTGAGAGGAGTTGGAAGGATGGTGACTAGAGAGAGTGAGGAAGAGGGAGAAAGAAAGGAAGGCACATGTGTGTTTTCACGAGCACACAACTGAGCAGGCTCCCCTCCACCCCGTCACCCCCACCCTCTTTCTCTCTCTTTTTAATTTTTTCCCCCCCGGTTTGCAGCCAGGCGCGTTCGGTGACAACAGCCCTGCAGAGACAAAGGGTGAAGCGCTGCGTAGATGTTGTCAGGTAGGTAGAAAGCAGAATACTGGAATCAATACTATTGTCTGTAACCTACCTGCTGCTGGGCTCCCTGTCTGGCCCCGGCAGAGACCATCAAGGGGAGAGGGAGGGAGAGAGCGGAGAGGAGAAACAGAATCACTCTGGCTGGGAGAGAAAGGAAAAGAAGAGGCTGACTCTGAGGTGAATACATGTTTTATTTGCTTTATACATTCCCACCCAGCAAGTTAATGCAGATTCATTCATTTCATCTGCAACTTATTTCACAACTCATGCCCATAAAGCCACAGACACTAATTAAATAAGTCATGTTATTGACAATGCATGATTATGTTCACGCTTGTAAGTGGATGCATGTGGGGTTTGTTTGCAATATGCAGCCTTTGTGAGTAATTACGGCGCGTCCGTGCTGCTGGCGGCGGGGTCACGTCTGTTCTGAGCTTACTTTGCACCTTTCTCAAAAACAAATCGCTGTATGTTAATGAAACATAATTAATACTGTAAAAATGGCAGCTGTCACTGTTCAGAGTGCAAAAGGTGTGCATGCAGTCATTGCAGAAACTTTGAGCTTCTGCATGTTAATGTTTGTGCTGTCTGTTTCCTTTGATGAAATGAATCGCCACTGTTTTTAAAAAGCAGCGAAAAGCATCAGCACTGCAGTTGTGACAAATGTCTCCTGTCCACGGTGGTCCGACATGCAGCTGCCGGGCTACTCACGTGCAACGTTAACAAAGGCAGCATGCGAAAGCACATCTTTGCACTCCCAAATCTTGGCCTGCAGCTTGTGAGGTAAAACAGTTTAATAAAGCATAGCTGTCATGTACAGCAGCTTGATTTGATGCCGAATATGGTGCTGCTAAGTTCAACTTCTCTTTGCGTGTGTTTGTGTAAAATGGAAAAACAAATACACGATTTAAAAAAGAAAATGCTTGGTTGCATGACAGATTTGCCACAAAAAGCACAGATTTCACTGCCTTTTTTTCTTTCCCCCACGTTTGAACATATGCTGTCTTCAGCATGTGCTTCTGCCTGTCTGCCAGTGGGTGGCATCACCTTCTAATGTTTCTACGCCATGAACTGTCTTTCTTTCATCAATGAAAACTGACGCAATAATTTTCATACGGCACAAAAAGTCACTATGATACTCGTTTTTTGTTGTTTGTCTTTACAGGGGAATATCCGACTTTGACTGGGCCTATTTTACTTATCTGTAGTTTTATGTGAACTGATGGCTCTCTGTTTTAGGGATTCATCTGCGTGAAGACGCAATAAAAATCATTCAAAGCATCTTAGGATGCATGCATTTAGACCCCATGTCTTTAAATGTATTTATTGAAAATGCAGCTGTCGTGTTTCCAAAGTCATATAATAGTCGACACATGTAAAGGTTAATTTAAGTTTAAAATTTGGTTCAATTTGTATTGTTTAAACATGTACGTCCTGTAGTTACGATGAATAATGTAGTTTTTTTTTTTTGTTGTTGTTGTCTTATCCTGCACTTTATTTGATTATGTTTTGTACATTTTAAACAGCTTCCTGAGCTCAGAAAACCTAACAGACACTTGTGTTGACTCAATAAATCATGCTCCAGATGCCCGTGACATTTACCAACACTTTAAAGTTAATTGTTTCTCTTTAATTAATTCCTTTGCAGTGGATTTAATTGATTCATTACAGAGATTATTTGTCCCCTGCTTTGAAAAATGGGCTCCACATCTGCTTTTGCTGCAATGCAAAACAAATGATCGGCAGAGTTAATGTCGGTGTATATGCAGCAGTTGTGTTTTAATTGAACCATTTGGGCTCATTTCTGATCTGCAGCGGAGCAGGAGACCGGGCCGGTGCCGCAGCAGAATCCAAATGTCAGATGAGGTCATGTCTTTGTCTCGGCGCTGCAGCTCTGCGGTTTCCATTAACACGTTTGATTTCACCACCGGGCTTTTCTGCGCAATGTAAGCTGCTGTCGTTCTGAACCTCTCGGTGTGTTTTCATTTTACAGTATGCCCCTCTGTCCCTGAGACCCTTAACCTGTGAGGTCAAAGCAGGTCACAGGTGAGGTCCTCGGGAACAGGGCTGCATTCAGTTTCAACGTTTTGCGAAATTTCAAAAATACTTGACGCTTTAATCGCGTTTCCTCCGCTCCATGAAGAGTCGTCTGTTTCAGCCCAAAGGAAGTGCCAGACATTGCAGCATCATCACAGCTTGTGTAACATTACATCAAAGCTGCATGACTGCTCGAACTGTTTTAGCGCCTGTCGTGGTACAAATCAAGACTTTTCGGTCGGTGCAAGAAGAGGACAACCGTCTCCTGCAGCCCTCTCAGGGGGCCAACCCTATTGGCTGCCTTTGTGTTATCGCCTCTGATCGGGGGCCAATAAGAAGACAGCCGAGGGTTGTGACCCCGTCATATGTGTCAACTCTGGAGAAGAAGTTTAAGTTTTCTTCAAGGTGGAGAAGTATTCTTTTTTTCTTAGTGTTTTAATAAAACATCAACTAAAAGTGTTACCTTTGTGCCTATGAGTTATTTACACAACATTCCATCTTGTCAAGGGAAACTAATATGAACTTTGAAATTTACCACATGTAGGGATTTCCCTCTGTCGACTCTGCGATCAGGAGGTAACATCAAATTTTCTTTCCTTTTCATTAAGTGCATCAAAACTGAGCAATGCTGGAGCCTTGGCGGTGTGTGAGTGATACACACCTCTGTTGAAATGCAACATCTTTCTGATGTAAAAATAAAATAAAACAACTAATCATTGCATTGCATATTTTCCAAATGTTTTGACATTTCCTCTACAATTAAACTGAAAATGAAACAGATCCATTAGAAGGAAATAAAATAAAAAGTTGACAAAACTTAGTTGGAGAAGTGTGCTAGCTGATAAGCTAAAGACTTTAAGCATTTTTTTTTGTTGTAATTTTATCTTTCAGACTATCAGCACGCTACATCTTGACAACGTTTTGCCACTCTCCCTTTTTAAAAAATCACCCAACTTTATCAGATCCACAGACCTTTTTTAATACAAAGATATCTGAAGATTTTAGGTATAAACTCATGGTAATTTTACACACTTTTTCAAAAATGTTAGCTCCATCTGAAGAAAAGGAACTCCAGATCATGGTTCTGCCTCCAATATGTTTTATTGTAGCTGTTGTGTTCTTCTGATAATGTTCTTTGTTGTTGTTTTTATTCATCAAATTTACCTTTTGATATTGTGGCTCAAACTTTAATGCTGGTTTCATTCGGCCATCAGACGCTTTTAGAAACCTCTAGCAAGTTTGGCCGTGTTCTTTAGAAGTTTTGTTATCATTTTAGAGTCCGACTTGTGAGTTCAGACACATGGAAAACGTTTCCACCTCCAGAGTAAAACCAGACTCGGAACTTGCAGGTTTTGGCTCTGATTGAGAGAAAAATCTAGTTTTTTTTCCCCCATTCGTTCCCATTGACGCATTGCAACTAGAAAATTAGAAATGTTCTTTTCTTTTTAGAAAACTGACAATAATGACAACGAGCCGCATGCCAGAGACAAGCCTACAGGCACAGCCAGAAAGACGCACACACACTCCAGTTATTTGGGATTTTCCGTGTTCAGCCATCTGACTAACAATCGGACTTTGGCGGTCCTGGAGAACACTCTTGCCTGATATTGATTGGCCTGTCTGCGCTGAGACAGATGAATGCATTAGTACCCAGCTCACCCTGCCACTGGAAATATATTAAGTTCATGTATTAGGCACCCTGTCTGGTTGCCATGGAGATGCACCAGGAGCGAGGGATCGGGGAGAAGAAGGATGGGGGAGTGTAGGGATGAGGAGGCGAGTGGGGGATACAGGATGCGATGAGGCAGTTGAGTTGATTTGTAGTCCTATTCCCTCTTCGTTTATTTCTGTCTGTCACTCGAGCGTCCGCTCTTACCTCCGTCCCCTCCTCTCCCTTTGTCTCATGACTTCAGCTTCTTTTCGCTTGAAAAAAAAAACTGTCTGAACTTTATCAGGAAAAATATTCAATTTTCACCTCATCAATTAATTTTGTTCCTCTTTTGTTCTTCATTTCCCCCTTTTGACTGGCTCCCGACTCGCCATCTGTCAATTTCCACAGCTGCCTCGTTTACTGAAAATTAAATGAAATTCTCATTTTACTTGAATTTTCTTGCCAATCTTCCTTCTTGCTTTGTCCTGACACATACCTAACCGCTTAACTCCCCTTTTATCTGCCCCTCTCCCCCTCATCTGCGCCACCTCCCTCCTCGGCTCACGCCATCTCTGTGCTCTGCAGTAAAACTGGTGCATTGAGGCAGCAGGAAATGGGGAATAGAGACAATAGAATGGAGGAAATACAGGAGATACTGTCTGCTCTCAGACCCAAACACAAACCCCGCGAGCTCATAGACATTCGGATGTATGTAAAATTTGTCTTTAAAGCTCTCAAGTTGTTCTTGCAACCTGAAGAATTATGATTTCTTCACATGTTGTCACCGTGGAAGCTGGATTTGAAGAAAAACAAAAAATTTTGCTCAGTTTGGAGCTCCTGCTAAAAATATGCATGGCTGTTTTGTGGCTCGCAAGTGTTAGTTTGCTGATTTGCCCCTCTCTGAGCTGCTATATCTGCTTTATCAAGCCGCAAGTCAGTGGTCGGCTGTGCACGGGCTACATTGTGGAAGAGACTAACGTCAACAGCGTGGACGAATGCTTCAGGATGCTGGACCGCATATTCAATACGAATGAGACAGTGATAGAGGCTGGAAGAGTGGGTAGGGGGCAAGCAGTCTATTTGTCTTTTAATTCCAGCAAAGCAAAGATGTGATGTGTTTCCCCTCTGCAGCTGGAGGTTTAGAAGGCAAGCTGAAGGAGATCCTAGAAGCAGAGATCTTACCTATAGCGAGAGAGTTTCAGGCAAAGTGGATTATGGGTAACTACAACACCTCCTCCAGTAGACAGCGAATGAGTTGTTAAGCGAGGTCCGGAAATTAGACGTTTCCGAAATGATGCCCTGAGGCACTGGATTCACCTAGATGTTTTGAGACAAATATCTCCTGTCTTCCTTCTCCTCCGTCTACCAGACACTGTGTATGAAAGCAGGTTGCAGAAAGCAGCAGACAATTTCATTGCAGCTGCCTCCAAACTGCCTAGAGGTGAGACATGGGCTCTTACACTTTTCCTTCATCTCTTCATCTAAACTAAGGCACACGTTGAATTATCACCACTCCCTCTGATCTCTTTAATCTCTCTGTGATAATCTAGTTATGTCGATGCAGCCTTTAAAACACTGTGGAAGCCAAATCGCATGTGCAATAAATCAAATCATGTGATGAAGAAAACCTTTCATTTTTTCCCCTACAGATACTCAGTGTATACCTCCATGTGGTGAGTGCCAACCTGTTTATACAATATCCTTAAAATAGAGTGCAAAATGACAGTGCAATTCAAAATACATACAATTTTCTCATGCGACAACTACAAGCCAGTACAAAGTCGTGCAGAGAAAGTAAAAGGATTAATTAGTTTTGTGCAGATAGCATCCAGAAGAACAAGGAGGTCAATAAAGTTATTGAGAAGTTTAGGTTTCAAAAATATCCCAAGCTTTGAAGGTCTCACTACACACTTTTTCTTCCATCGTTTGAAAATGGAAAACGAATTGCACAACAGCAAACAAAACATGGTCGTCCAGCTTGGCTAGCAGGAGAGCATAACAAAGTGAAGTAACCAAGCGCCTCGTGGTAACTGGAGGAGCAGCAAAGATGCAAAGTTTCACATTTCTTTACAGTTCAACTATTAATTTTCAACTCTGAAAGAGCAGCAAAACAGTTGATTTGTTAAAGGAAAAGGCTAAACATTTTCCCTCTGCAGTGTGCCACGAGCAAACATGCTTTAGATGAAATGTAAAAACTAACAACCCGAGCTCAGCACCTCCTCTGTGAAACATGGAGGCAGATAAAAATGGATGGCTCACTTTCCAGGTTTATATTTTTTAATACAAAAAAATGAAAACAATCAATCATTTACCTCCCAGTTTATAATTACACACTATTTTGATCTGTCATAAAAAAAATTGGGGATCACAACAAATAACCCCGTACTAAAACACTCTATGCATTAATATAAATTAATACGCAGAGCGGAAACTGTCTTGAAACCATCGCAGAAGCGAACATCCCTGGTCCTCCTTATCTGCACTCAAGATACAAGAGTGACTGCTTTGCAAACTGCAGCCAATAGCGTGTCAAGCCCAGGTATTTCAGGTCCCCAGGCTGCATTTAGTTCAGAGATTCTTCATGACAAAACCCACACACAGGTGAATTATCTGAAAATAGGTCAGTTGTGTAGTATATGTCAGGTCTTTTCCCTCTCGCACGTTCACATTTTACCCAAAATGCTGCCACATGATGGATTTTTGGAAATGTTAAAAGTTTGTTTTTAATCAGTTGTTATCAACCAGTTTTTTGTTGTTGTTGTTGTTAAGTAAGATGAAGCTAACAGCCAATCAGGGAGAGATCAAGACCAAAAGTAGACATCTACCCTCTGAAACTAGCTTCACTCGTACTGGTGTTTTAGGGGTTCATGTGAATATTATCTGATGAACCTGTAAATTTAAGTGGTTGTGATAGGAAGCTGTGTCTGACTAGTGATCTTCCTTAGTAAAAGAACAAATAGGGCAGTGAAAAAAATAATGAAACTGCAATTACCTAAACAACAGTAGTATTTTTCCTTTACCATCATATTTTAAACTTATTTGACATGTTGTACTCTTAGAATATCAAGCAGGAAGATCACCGGTGGCACATGGCTTCCTTCATCCATTTCCTCTGTAAATTATAATTAATTTAGTGTAAATAACCACCCAGTGCAGTGATTATAGGGTCATAACTCTTTTTTGTGATTTGCATAAACCTCTTTGATGTTTCTGAGATTTGAGGTGTTTTAAGACGGTAGAAGTTCACTTTTCTTCCTGACCTCTCTCATACATCAGATTTGGGGAATCTGGATTTATCCAAAATAAAGACGTCAAGTGATTTATCTCCCGCAGGTTTAAGATATCACCTGCTCATAACCGATTAATTTTGCCTCCTGTAACGCTAGTTCCATGCTTCCAGGTTTTCAGAACATAGATGCTGCGTACAACTGCGACACCTGCCAGTACGACTCCTGCTTATTCCCCCTCGACTGTCCAGGTGAGAACGTAATTCACTGCCCGACAGATTTTGTTACATCACAGCTAAAGAAGATGTGCTAATCCAGACTTGACAGATCCTTAAATAACTATATTTTCCCCTTCATAAATCCTGATCCCTGAAATGCTCTGTGTTTGATCCTTCAAATGCTCTTAGCTAAAAAGTCAGGATTTGAAAATGAGACAGTGGAAAGGTTTTATTTCCACACATTATATCTTTTTGCACAGAGCCCTCGAGGTTCTCTTTAAGTCGATGACTTCTTTATGCGGGGTGACAGCAGACTCCCACACACGGCGGTGTTCGTATCACCCCTGTACAGCTCAGCCAATGTTTAGCATATCATCACTTTTGCTGCACTCCTCTGAGACTAGGCTTAAGTATTATCATTAAGGAAGGCTCAGACTGCAAGCTCTGCCCTCTGTGAACGTTATCTGTGTGCGTGTGTCTCTGTCTGTGCGCTTGTGGGTGGCTATATGTTTATTTCAGTTGAAGAAACTGAAGTAATGGAGGGTAGAGGAATCGAAATGCGCTGCGATGTGCCATTCGACCTGCCAAATGATATCGAGGTGGTCTGGAGGTTTGCAGAGGAGGTACGCTCAAACTACAGTGATCTGTGTATGTCCAGACTCTCAGAGGATTAGCTCAACATCTTCTATGTGATCATTACGTAAAATTATAAGTAGATACTTCTAGGAACAGGTTTTTGTAAAGCCCAAAATTATTCATACCACAAGTAGATTGAAAGTAAAGTTTAAGGTAATATTTTAATTTTAGCAGCATATTTCGTCTAACTCAAAAATAATAATTGCACTTTTTTGCAAAGGTCTGGCATTCACGTAAGGCAATACTGATAGATAAAATAATCAATCAAAGGCTAAACGTAACTTTAAAAACATGCTTAATAACTATAAGAAGTTGCAAAATTGTTCAAAAGGCGCACTTACAGACATATGAGTATTAAAATAATCAAGAAGAGATTTAAAAACTCATTGAAAATACAAATTGTGAAAACATAAATAAGTTTAAATTTTTTTTAGCAAAATTATTTTTATTGAGTATCACAGTTGATCTTTAATAAAACTAAAAGGTGGATGGGAATCTGCTGCCGCTGATAATAGGAGTAATTCCACTTTCATCCATATGGATCTCCAGCTAAAACAGATTTAGCTTCAGAACTGGATGACATTTCCATTTTTCACTTTACTTGAATTATGTCTGAAGCAGATTGTTGACCTCAGCCTACAAATGTTACAAAACTCTTTACAGTCTGAATCATCTCCTGCAGATCAACATCTGTATCTTCCTCCACAGTTCAAAACGCAGGAAACGGAGCAGTTTAAGGAGGTGACTGCAGGACCCGACAGGCTTTACTTCATTTCATCAACCAGCTCTCAGCATACGGGCACCTACCAGTGTGAGATTTTCTCAGGCACTCGATCCATTGTCAGGCTTTACTTCTACGTCACAGGTAACAGGATGTGCCAGATGTTCAGTGGTAAAACAGAAACTGAGGCTTTTATGTTAAATGGGGGACATGTGACTGTTTAAAGGAAAGTTACGTAGATTAATGCAGATTTCATCCCTGTTTAGATCATGTAAAATAATAAATAAATATTAGTGCAGAATATTACACACAGCATTTTGCTGAAGTTTTAAATACTTTTCTAATAAAGTTATTCTGATCAGTAGTTGGACTTAATATTATCATCAATTGTCTGTTTATTTATTGTAAATGTGTTCCAATGGAAGACAAAATAAGAACAACTCTACATCAGATGAATGGGATATATAGTTATCGCTTTATGAAATGAGAAAGAATCTAGAACAGATATGACACGGAACCAGAATCATCTTGGATTTGCTACAATTTGTGCTAAAAGCACTTTGGCAATCACTTCTTGGTGCTTAAATATCACTTTCCCTCTGAGCTAAATTACAGTCACCTTGAAATCATTAATTGAAATTTAAAGAAAATGTTTTATCCACCTTTAGAAAGTTTACAAACATAAGCAGTATGAACATTTTCACAAATTATTGGAAAGCCTGGTTCCTTAGATCCAAAATGTTCATTTTATCTGCAACTTGAAAATTGGAAATCCAAAACTCACTTACAGTATATTTTATAGATAAGTAAAAAATAAACATAAACTATGAGGTTTTTCACATTTTGTTCCAACATAAACACAAGTATCAAAGTATTTGCTGGGATTTTAGTTGCTGGAACTTATGCATCGGGTTTTGTTCTGGACTTTGACTGGACCACTCTAACACATGAACATGGTTTGACAACTTCTTCTTCATGCCACTCTTTCCCAGAGGCCAGGTCAGTGTCGCACAGTGCTGATAGTTGTCCTGTCTATTAAGTCTCCACCTAATTATAGTTATTTGTCCATTCATTAGGTGATTTTTTTTTTAAATAAATTGGTCTAGCTTTTGTTTCAGGGTGTCAGAAACAAGGACGAACTGAAAATTCACACTACGCTTTGTAGATTTTTATTTGCTAAAGAAAAAAGATTTAAAAATTTTTCTTCTCCTTCACTTTTATGTTCTGCTTTGTGTCGCTTGGACCTTTGTGATTGTTGTGACAAAGTGTGAATACTCTTTGCAAGGCGTGTAGCTTGAAAAGAGATCAAAACTTACACTGATGCTCCCATCGATGTTTTTGCATATCTTTCTGCGTCTCTGTGTCTTTAAGTGACGCCCCGGCCAGTGGCAGGCCACACAGCGCTGCAGGGGATATTTGACCTGTCTCTGCTCCCAAGAGGGCAGTTACTCACCGCGCCTGGTGCTGCTCCTCACTTCTCCCTCCACCTCCTCCTGTTTCTTCTCACCACCTGTTTAGCCTCTTCACTGCTGCTGCTGTTCGTCTCCCTGGGGTGAAGACAAAGCTATTATTTGGACAATACGAGACATTGGCAACAATCGACACCTGTCCATTTATTAGTCATACTGTATCTTTGTCATTTGCTGTTTCAGGTTCCTGTACTGGTTGTCGGTATCGGAGGTAGACCATCCTGTAGCAGATTCGGATGAAGAAGATTATTTTGGTGTTTCAATGTTAGCGATATGAAAAGGAGCGGCTTGTATTAAAAACGTACATAAAGTACTGGATATTCTCTGAAGCATTATGTCATACTTGGATGTAGACGTGTGTGTAACTCTTCTCACCACTAGAGGTCAGGATACACATTTTTATTAGAATAATTGACAGTGGCTTTCTGTATGCGTAAAGCATTAAGACGAGCTGTTTTAATTGAAGTGCAACAAATTTTAGTGTTCAACATGAGATGTGACTTTGTGAAAGTACAGCTCAGTTTATGCATATTTAAATCTACTTTTTAAATTCCTATGCCATCTAATAACTACAATCAGAAACAGTTTCTTTAAATATAATTAAAACATCAACAAAATGGTAGATTTACCTTTTTTTAATATCTGGATTAAATCTTAATCTTTTTTTGCTCTCCTGTCACGTGCAGTGACAAAATCTGAGGTCACGATTTTCCATTGATTACGTCTTTTATGGCCTTGTTTATTTTTGTTCATTTAACTTTCCCCCTATTTTGATATATTCCAACTATAATAAGCTTTAGTGAAATGCATGTGAAGGAAAATAATATATTTTTCTATATCAAAGATAGTTCGTCTCGTCAGAGTTGATAGGAAAATGTATGGGGTCCGGGAAACGGCATGTTAAAGCTACTAATGATATGAGACTAAATCAGTGGAAGATTTGCCTTCCAGCAATTAAAAAAACCACTAAATATACAGCCTAAGATATAGTGGAGTGGTTTAAATCAGAGCAGCATGTTTGTGGGTTGGAACGGCCTTGATGTTTGCAGACATTTCTAATCTGATTTGATTGAGCCGAAGTTGTTTTGCAGAGAAGAATAGAGAAAACCTTCAGTCTCTCAATGAGGACAACTGGTAGACATGTCCCAAAAGACTTTCAGCTGCAGTTCCAGTGAAAGGTGTCTCTAAAAGGTATTCACCAAGTAGGTGAATACACAGGCTGAATACAAATAGATGCTGCAATTTTAAGATAGTTATTTGTAAGAAAAAAAAGAGAAAAAACTTTCAAATTGTGTTATCACTTTCCATCCATCTTATAATTAAGTGCCACTGCTGAAGTTTGCTGTTGCTATGTAACAAAATCTGAATATATATTTTTGCAAGGCCCGGTATCTTGTCCTATTTGTTACTCATTGGTTGTGCATGTTTGTTTGGCCATGACGTTTGTATTTGCTATCCTAAAATGTTTTCATTGTTTTACTTATCAGATCAGACTTACAGATCGCCAATAAGTCAAGGAGACCACAACAGATAGAGGCACTGAATGATATGTGATAACATACATGAGAACGTGTGATAAAGACAAGGTCCTACTAGATAAAGTGCAACAACAAAATGCATAAAAAGTTACTGAGATGGAAGTAAAAGTACGTAATGGTTGAAAGCTGTTGTCATGGAACGACTTCATAAACGGGCAGAAATTTTAATTGAAAAGGGAGGAACAAATTTCACTCACTCAGTGAAGTGTGCTGTCCTGAACTGTGCAGCCTGGTTTGCTTCTGGATACGTTCTGTGCTAAAATGATAAGGTTTTCCACATGTTTCACCAGTAAAAGAGCGATTTGATACTGTAGCCTAAAGACCACCAGGGGGCAGCAAAACACAGCTTGTCTTGTAGTTTACTCAATAAACAGCAGTCACACATTTTGGAGGTTTCTACACTCTGCTTGGATTCATCTTTGAACTTTGTGATGACATTAGTTTCATGTCACATCCAGACTGTGACCCCGAGATGATCTGGTTGCTAAAGACAACACCCTTAAAACAAATCTGAAAAAGGAGAAGTACTTCAAATTGCAAAACCGATCATTTCCAAAAAGAAATGTGACAATTCAGTCATTTGCTTAAACATTTTCTGCAACAAATTAATCACTCAAAACTGCTCAGCACAGAACTGCTGAAGCGCAGGTTCTGTGTCCCGAGACCTTGTCAGAGATTGATGAGATGCACGTGTATGTGAGATCAGCCTGAACAGAAACAAATCTCAATTCTGGAAAAAAGAAAAAGTCAGGAAACAGTTAGAAATAAATTGTACTAAATTATTCGATTGCTTAAAGTCCTTACACTTGAATCTTTCTCATTTTGGGCAAAAAGGTTCCAATTTCTACCATGTATCATGCAAACAATTTATTTTTTGTGAGTTATGGCAACAAAACATCCTCAATTTACAATGGAGTCACAACCATCAGGTGCTTGAAACAGTATCAGTAATTTACATCATGAGGTTAGGCGAGGGCGTTAAGTTGGGATGTTTACAGTAGGGCTGGGTCACTGGATCAGAGGGAAAGGCCAGGGACCAATCCTCAAAAAAAGAAAATATTATATAACCACGTGAATGGAAAAAAATACCACCCTGGTATTGATGGACCTATCTATAATATGTGAAAGTCTCCAAACAAAATAACTCTACAACACTTAAAAAGTATTCACCGTATCATTGTATCTTCCAAGAAAACAGACAATTTTTAAGTATATATATTGTTTTTTGCATCTGCCAAAATAATAATAATAAAAAAGTTTACTTTCTTTAACCTCTTTGAAAATGCCCTTTCTCCTCATTTCAGCTAAACATCCCGGACAGTCATTTTGAGTGCTTTTGCTGGTGTATTTTTCAGGCACCGATTTTCCTCATAAGATCTAAGAACTTGAGAAAATGACCTTGGTTTGTGAAGTTTCAGTTTCAAAATGTAATTTGTTGAGAAATGCTTAGGGTGGCTGTCAAAAGCAGCATTTCAGGCAGAGTTTTAATGTCATTCTGCTTTTTAATAGCCGTTTTTAAAATCAAATCTCCCTTTATTTTAAGTGCATATGTATTTTTTCATAGCCATACTTTAGCACTTTATGCTGCCATAGCATCCACATGTTGTCCACAGAGATGGTTACTAACATTTATTAATTTATTTGAGTACAAATTAAAAAAAATAAAATAAATACTGTTAAGAGTTGTTTTACTGCACCATACTTTTTTCAAAACTTTTCTTGGGTGATAATATTAAGTATCGCTACTTGCTTGAGTTTCTGAATACTTTATCCTCTTTGAGTCACTTTACTGAATGAAGAACAACCTCGTTTTAAGCAAAAATGCACCGGAGACAACAGCTTAGCTAAAGTGAAACCTGTTTTTTAATTATACCTTCTAGCCTGTTATGCTGCAATACTAATCTTATTATCTTCTACAGAGCCATTGGTGAAACTTCAACCCCTGAAACAGCAAGCCCCAAATATTTTCCATATTTTAACAATTAATAAACTGTCTGTGTTTATTGTTAAAACTAGGGAAATATGCTAATGCTCTTACAAATCACGCGCGAGTGAATAATTTCAGCAGGTGTTTAATGAAGGTGTATGTCGCGACCTGTACCTTCAGCAAACATTTAATTCATTTGTAATTGGACTTTGACTTTGTTAAAACATTACCTGGATGAAGTTTGGCGGCTCATTGGCTCCCACTCTCCCCGGAGGAAGACTGCCTGCCTGCCGGGTGGATGTTCCTGTGACACACCGGCGTGTGCGGAGCAGGAGGGCGACGGAGTCTGCAAGGCCGTAACTAAGCTTTTTAGGGACCTAAGATTGATTTGATAATTATATGTCCTTGGTAAATTATTTTTTGATTCCAATGAAATAGAAGACATCTGGACAAGCAAGCGATTTGTTTTTATGAGTATCTGGGGAGGCACTCCTCCCTTGCCCCTGGTTGATTCTTCATCGACTTGATTTTTTCCCCACTTTTAAAACATGTATTATGACAAAAAGATTTTAGTCCTGAATACAATAGGTGGAGTAAATTCTTGACAAAACCCATTTCTACATCCTGTAGAAGAACATTGTGTTTTACCCGTTCACAAGACGCAGATCCAATGGAAAAACATGAGGAGGTCTCTAAAAACCGAACGTTGTGTATAAAATTTCTCAGAGTTAGTGAGGCTTGCTGTAGTAAAAAGCCGCATTATTGATAAGCCTGCAGCAACACATGCAGTCAAAGTTGATGTGCAATCAACTTTTATACCATCTGGTATAAAAGCTGATTAATAGCGCCAACAAAACGAGAATTTACTGAAGTAACTCAGTTCACGAAGTGAAACACATTAGAATTGATAGATTAATTACATGTAGACTAATGTTTTCAAGCCTTTAAATCTGTTAATTATGATGATTATGATACAATATGCTTTTGAATCTGACAGAAAAATGTCATTGCATATTCAATAAATATTCCAATTAATTTAATATGACCGCACCTACTGTAGAAATTATCTCATAAAATAAAGATATGATGACAAATATCAGTTTACTAAAGTGTTTCATTTTGTAACAACTATGTACAGCAGTAAAGGGTTTTTTACTAATATGCATACAGTTTAACATTATAAAAGTAGATTAAGATATTTAAGAGACTACATTTGCCATTAAAATGCTCTTTCTCAAACAGTGTAAAAATAATATCTGCAGCAGGAGTGATGACATTTTACACAGGACAGATGGACACATCAGGTCCTGTATTTTTCGAAAGAACCCAGAACTTTCTTTCTTTCTGCAAGGCAACACTGCCACTGTGGAGCCTCAGCTTATCAGCATTACTTGGTATTTAAACAAAGCATGAGAATACAGAAGGTCAAACAATCTTGCTTGTTGAGAGGGTAGCATTAGATTTATGATTTCAATATAAGTCCCCCATGGACAGCACACCTGGAGCTCCTGCGATGGACTGGTTCGTCACAGGGCAAACATAGAGATACAGCGCAGCCGTACCTGCATTCTCAATAATAAAGTCAATCTAAAGGACCTAAGGTATGTAACTGGAGTACCTGGAGACAGCTATACAGGTATATCAGAGCACTTGAAAAACCTTGGAAAAGTTTCAGCTTTCTGTTTTCTCTTTTTCAGAGCTTAAGACTAAAGTTTATTTTAAATTTGAGCCGCCTGTATGTGCGGATTGTCCTAAGTCCTAGATAAAAAACGAGCACACTCACACCGCTTCTTGCTGAAGTGAGTATGAACGTCTTCTTGGTGGAAAGCACACACGATGTGAGCACAGAGTAGGATCCGCGGGGCCTTATAAAGCTCTTGTGGAGATCCTAAAAATAGTCAGACGTGACTCAAAGCTTTTCATTTAGCAAGCAGAAAGTCGTAGTGTTTCCACTGGACCGTCTGCTTGCCAGGGCAACTGATCCTTGTGTCAAAACAGACCGGAAATATAGGAAGTGTGGGTGTGATTTTTCTTCCCCACATATCATGTTAGTCATGGTGGGTGGATGCTCATTTAGTTTGGATGTTTTTTACGTCAGAATATTGAGGATTTCTTTCCTGGGGATTCCGAACCAATTCCCTCTTCCACCTTAACGCTGTTTGCCCACCCCTAAGCTTTTGAGTGAAAAAAGCTCCTCTAAAATGTCTCATTGTTGATAAAGCCATAAATCTCTGTTTTCTTTAAGAATATTCTATTGATAAAAGAGGTGTTGTTTCCATAAGCTGCTTGAGAGTTTTGTTTATCTTCAGATTTGCCCATAAGGCTGATGTTAATAAGCTCTTAATAATGTTCACCATGTTATTAAGTAAAATTAGTTAACATGTTCTTGCATTTTACAGCCCTAATATCAATAAATAATTAAATATGTAATGTTTTATCTTTGAGAGAAAATGTTGGTTGTTACCTCTTTCATCAGTCAAATATGTCCAATACTGGGAGGGGCCACCTTTAAAGGATCTGCTGCTCTCCAGGTAACACAGTTCAGCTTTCAGGATCTATTGGACTCCCTGATTTGATGGGTCAGGCTTATTCTGGCAAGTGGGCAGAAATATACAGCAGTTCTTTATATATATATATATATATATATATATATATATATATATATATATATATATATATATATATATATATATATATATATATATATTTGAGAGTGGTT